AGGATTGAGGTTCGAAGCCAGCCTGGGCAAACAGTTTGAAAAAATCTAACATAAAAAAGTTAGTGGAGTGGTTCAAGGCATAGGTTGTGAGTTCAAACTCCAGTACTGAAAAAAATAAATAATAAAAGTAAAATAAATCTCTTTTCTCTGCACTTTGCCATCACTTGGTTCTTTATTTGGTGTCCTGAGGCAAGCAATTAGATTTGTGGAACCCCTGGAGTTGGGATTGTGGCCTAGAACTCCAGTTTCAATTATGCCAGTTTCTTTTTTTTTTTTAATTTAAATATGGAACTCTTCACTAATTTGCATGTTATCCTTGCACAGGGGCCATGCTAGTCTTTTCTGTATCGTTGCAAGTTTAGTATATGTGCTGCCGAAGCGTGCACAATTATACCAGTTTCTACTGTTAGAGATAAAGTCAGTGGTGGTCCATTTTCAAGGCAAGGCATTTAACCCTGGCTGCTTGCATATCAGCTTGCAGATGTTGGGGGAGGGTGAACTGATAAGGAAACTTAAACTGGGAGGGGTAAATCATGGTAGAATGAGGAAATAGGTAAAAACTGTGTATGTACCAGAAAGCATGTATCACAGGGAGGACTTCCCTGCCACAAAGGAGTTGGATATCACCTAAAGCCTGCTTATAAAATTTGAGGCATCCCAAGAGAGGCATATTTTAAATAATCCAATAGAAAATCTAGACAACTAGGGGAAAGAAGTACAACCCATAATCCTCAGCCAATGAGGAACTGGGGGAGGGACTTGTGTACTGGAGAATACAGTGCTTCTTGTAACCGCTTTGTGGGTGTCTGCACCAGACACCTAATCTTGCAAGACCACCATTAAAGTCTCCCTTTCACTGTACTCCATGTGTCTCTGAGTCCAGTCTTTGAGTTTGGATAGGTGAGCATATTTCTCACATTACTGAACCACTTGTCTGCCTGCATGTTTTGTGGTTACCTATCTAGAAATTTGTTCACATTCATAGATCTTGGCAACTGGCTTAGTCCCACTTCTACAGTTATATTTGCTTTCTCTGCCTTAACTTTGTAGGGATTAAACTTTATCTTACCGTTTGGCCTCCTTCTTTGTCATGGAAATGCCATATTCATATTTGCTTTTATGGCTCCCATATCAGGATGAGGGGTTTTATTTTCCATGTGTTTGTATATTTGAGCTTACTTTATTGCAGCTTTCATTGAGACTTAACACATTTCTACAAGGTTATGGGATTTTTTTTTTTTTCAGTGTTCAGTAGTATCACATATCCAGAATTTCTACTTTCCTACTGGATACTAGTATAGAATGTGTTATAATTTCATGAATGAACTCCTTTAGAAAGATTTCAGTAAAGGTAAATGGGATTCTACCAGTCACAACTTTCTTATTGCTGTGGCCAAAAACCTGACAGAAACAACTTAAGGGAGGAAAGATTTGTTTTGCTTCACAGTTTCAGAGGGTTCGGTCTACGGTCACTTGCTTCATGTTCTGGGCCCACTGTAAGGCAGAACATCATGGCGCTAGGATAGTGTAGCGGAGATAGTTCTCATCCCATGGCAAGGTAGGAAACAGCGTGGAGCTATAACAGGAAGGGCAGGACAAGATATAGCGCCACGGACATGCTCCCAGTAACCTCCTTCCTCTAACAGGCCCCACCTTCCACAGTCCCATCACCTCCCAATAGACTATTATTATTATTATTTTTTATTTTGTGGTGCAGGCATTTGAATTTAGGGCCTACACCTTGAGCCTCCATTAGCCCTTTTTTGTGAGAGAGTCTCGGGAACTATTTGCTCCACACTGGCTTCACATTGCGATCCTCCTCATCTCTGCCTCCTGAGTAGCTAAGTGTATTCTGATTTTGAATCTATCAATGGATTATTCCATTCATAATGCCAGAGCCCTCCTAATCTAATTGTTTCTGGAAATGCCCTTACAGACACACAAAACTGTGCTTTACTAAACTCCTAGGCATTTCTTAATTCAATCAAGTTGACAAATCAAAATTAACCAGCACAGGGATATAACCACCTAGTAAAAGAAAATGACTCTCAGAATGGGATATAAAGTATAAATATGCCATATTTAGAAAAGGAACCTAAAACTAAAGATTCTAAAAGTTTGAAAACGGATGCATTAAATGAAGTTAATGCTGAAAAATGCTGAATATGATTTAAAAAGGAAAAAAAACCCCTGCATTGCTGTGCTGTGGAAAATAGTAAAAAAAAGCCCTCCAAATAACAAAAAACGAAGAGTACCACTGAATCCAGTGAACCCTGAGGTAAACACCTGTTAATTCCAGATGATTTGAGTTTCCTTTCAATAAAGGCTGCCTGGGCTAGAGCAGACAAAAGTTACACCTTCAGCAACAAGTGAACACCAATAGCAACAACAAAAACCAAACTAAGCTGGGCTCCTGTGAGCCACACATTTATAATCCTAGCTACTTGGGAGGCTGAGATTAGGATTGTGGTTCAAGGCCAGCCTGGGCAAACAGTTTGTGAGACCCCCATCTCCAAAATAACCAGAGCAAAATGGATTAGAGGTGTGACTCAAGTGGTAGAGTTCCTGCTTTGCAAGTGTGAAGCCCTGAATTCAAACTCTAGTCCTACAAAACCAAGAACAAAACCCAGCTAAACCAAACCAAACAAACCCAGAAAAGGAACTCAATAAGGAAACTTGCCTGATATAAACTAGATGCTGAGTAGAAGTAAAAAATACTTTCTATAATATCAGAAGCAAAAAACAAAACAAAAACTCTCAAGCCAACTATTTTATTGGATCCTTTTTTTCTGTTTTACTATATATCTTAGAACTGTTCTGTAGCCACAAATATACATGTACCTTTTTGTTGCTGTTGTGGTACTAGGTTTGAACTCAGGCCTTGAGTTTGCTGGGCAGTCACTCTACCATTCTAGCCAAGTCCCTAGCCCTTCAGCCAATTATTTGAAAGTAGTCAGCAGGGATGAACTGCCTAGAAGAATTAAAACCATACCCTTCAGTGGAGTGCATCTTTCATTCAGACTTCAAATAATTCCTCTAAGTAGTAAAACTCTATAGAACATAAGGTCAAAAAAAAAAAATCACAAAATGTGAAGATTTACATTTCATGGGCTGTAAGAAAGAGTAATAGCGGGGATGAGTTTGAAGGACATAATGGGCTTGGGCTGTAGTCACTCTAGAAAGTCCCCTGAGAGCAGAGATTTTCTGTGCCCTTTGGATGATCATGAAGAGGCAATTTTTCTTCAGTTGTGGCAAACAGCCTTTCTAGGAAAGTATTACTCACTACTCTCAGCCCTCTTCCTCCTCCCCACAGCATTTTCCTATGTCTTTGAATAAACCCAAGAACTCCTAAGTGCAATCAGCCCCTGAAATCACTTTTTCCCCCTCCCATCATTCCCAATGGGCTGATTTTTAGATTTCTATCTTGAAACAAAGAGGTTACAATCCAGAACATACAATGAGCAGTTGAATGTTAAAATTTATAGAGACAAACTTAGCCCTATCTTTAAGGTCACTGTATAAGGGTATGACATCCTCAGAACCAAAGAATGAAACAAAAACTCAGCTTTCAGGAAATTAACAGCTATAAAGAAATAAAAGCTCAATGAGAAAGAATAGAATATAAGCTGACATAAACCATTGTGGTTCAGTTTCTAATTCAGATGATTTAACTCCTAAAGGAGGTAAAGAGAAAAACATTCCCAGGCAAAAAGAGGGGAGAAGATAGAACAAAACTGATATGAATTTCAAATAATCAGAGACATTATGAGAACAAAATCTTAAGTAATTAATAGACTGGATAGGTTTAAAATCACTAAGGGGTGGCAGTGTACTTTCTCTTTACAAATCACACATGAGGGTTTGTTAGAAGACACATTAAAGAGCTGGTGACATGATAGAATGAAAACAGCTACGTAGAGGGCTGGAGATGTGGCTCGAACCATAGAGCGCCTGCCAGGAAAGAACAAACCCCAATACTGTCAATCCTCCCCCCAACAGAAAGGTGACAGAAAATAGATAGAAAAAGCCCAAGTAAGATGTTTGGGTCCTTTCCAAATCTTTGATCACTTAAAGAAAAGTGACTGTTTGAAAATGGCAGAATAGCAGCGCATCAGTGGCTCACACCTGTAATCCTAGCTACTTAGGAGGCAGAGATCAGGACAATCCTGGTTCAAAGCCAGCCTGGGCAAATAGTTCCTGAGACCCTATCTTGAAAAAAAGGCCCTTACAAAAAAAGGGCTGGTGGAGTGGCTCAAGGTATAGTTCCTGAGTTCAAACCTCAGTACTACAAAAAAATTTATTGAAAAAAAAAGGTTCTATCACTTTGCACACCACCATACTGGGCCCAAGCTTTCCTTCACATGAATCCTTGGGGGACAAACTACCTCCAAACCACAGCAGCACCCTTTTATATACAGGAATTGAGCAAGCCCTCACTTGACTCTATGTTTTCAGAGAAAACTGTGACGTGAAAATTAATCTGAAAGCAGAGTTCTAGAGTTGGTCTGAGCAGCTGAGTGAGCTGGTGTAGTTGTGTTGTAATTTGGCATTAAAGTTCAACTCCCTGCCTAAATACAACACAGAGTTCTCCTAAACTGTAAGCAAATATTTATTAAAATGAAATAACATTATAGTGTTTAAAATTAGAAAATTTTAAAATAAGGTTAAGAACTAGAAATCAAGTTAATAGGAGCTCCCAAAGGCAGGGGAAATTAATCAATTTTACTTCTTGATTGTATTTTAACCAAACAGGAATTTCTCTACAAAAAGTTTGTGAGATGAATAACTTAGGTTCATGATTCCTTTTTTTTTGTTTAGGTGGTGAAACTGAGGTTTGAACTCAGGGCTTCATACTTGCAAAGAAGGCACTCTACTACTTGAGCCATGCCTCCAGCTTTCATGATTCCTTTGAGAGGGATTTTTTTTTTTTTTTGGTGGTATGGAGTTTGAACTCAAGAGCTTCATGCTTGCTAGGCATGTGCCTTACTGCTTGAGCCATGCCTCTAGACCTTTTTGCTCTGGTTGTTTTGGAGAGAGGGTCTCACTTTTTTTCCAGGATGGCCTGGACTGAAATACCCCTATTTTGTGCTCTGTACATAAAATCCCATAGCTGGGATGACAAGTATGCACCACCAGGCCCAGCTTTTTTCCATTGAGATGGGGTCTCATGAACTTTTTTGCTCAGGCTGGCCTGGAACCACGATCCTCCTGATCTCAGCCTCAAGTAGTAAGGATTACAGGCATGAGCCCGACTCCTTTTAGTGTTGGGTTTTTTTTTCCCCTTCACAAAGTAAAAGGTTGTAGGTTGATTGATGTGAGATTTGATTTTCGAGGAGAAAGTTTAGTTCAAGGTCATCTAAAAAGTCCCTGAGGAGGAGGCACTATTCAAGGCGGATTAGGTGTCAGTGTACACACTTTGATTAGAGAGGCACTAGCCACAGGCTTCCAAGTGTCCATCCTTCAAACCAGCAAAAGAGAGGAAATTCAGGCTCTTCAGTTTAGCTTCAGCATGATCAGTAAACTCCCTGGTGGCTCTCTGCAGAGGAAGCCGGGGTGGCCCCATTGGAATCCCAGACACTATTGTCATGATGGCTTTGGTCTGTGACACTCCAAAACCTAGACAGGAAAAGTAAATGAAGAACATCTCTAGTACTGTCCATTTCCCCACAAACATCCCTAAGAAGAGGCTATATGCCAACAGTGATTACTACAATAGGGTAGGTGAAATAAAAGATAGGAATGTTTCTAGTCAATACAACAGATCAAGTAGACACAGGAAATCCCTCTTCCTGCTGTAAACCCATAGAAATGCTGGAAAATGTTAACAAATTGATAAACTGTAAAGCAAAAAGAGGGGTTGGGGAGTTCAGTGGTAGAGTGCTTGCTGAACATGTGTGAAGCCCTGGTTCAATCCCCAGCAAGAAGATACTGTGCATTGCTAGATAGGGTTTAGCTCAAGTCTGCTCAGAGGGCACTGAGAAACAGAAAAGCACCACTTCTGGTGTCTTGTGACCCATTGCTGTTGTTTTCGTGTTGCTGTCATAAAGCTGGTACAGGAAGAAAGATAAAGCCTTGAGCCTGTACAGGTGAGAAGCTAGAATAAAACTCTCCATGTAAAACTGGTGACCAGCCTTCTATGAAAAGAAATAAGAGACAGTAATGGACACCCAGTTCATTGGCCTGAGGATAAAGAGACAGGAAGGTTGACTTTTGCCAGGACTGTGGGGGGAAAATCCCTTGTGCAGGAAATTCTAAGCCTGTGTCACTGGTGAATGCTGGGTCCAAATTTGCACTGCGCACTTGGTATAGGTACCAGGCTATAAAACTGATCGGATGACTGCTTAGAGCGAGTGGAACTAAAGTGTCCCAACAGCTAAATGGAAACCTGCCTACCAACCTAGGGGACAGCGGACCATCCAGGAAACAGCTAGAAATTACAGGAAGCCCTTCTATCCACAGATTAAGTACCTGTGGTTTTGATCAAGTGTGGTCAAAAAAATGAATACAGGACATTTCAAAAACAAAAAAAAATGTAAATTCCTGTATGCATATTACATGGCTCAGTTGATGCAGAGAAGATGTCAGCCAGTCCCACCTTATCAGTTGTGTTTAAATCCTTGTGTAACATGCTGAGTGTTTCTCTGCCCTGTTTCTCTGCCCTTTGGTTTGTGGAAATCTGCCTCCCAAAAAGCAAATGGTGCCCACAAAGCAAAGTAAAAGTGAATGTGTTTAATTTTGTGCTGAAGTTAAAATGTGAGATTTGTTGAAAGGCGGTATGTCTTTAGCTGGGGTTTGAACTCAGGGCCTCATGCCTGCTAGGCAGGTGCTCTACTACTTGAGCCGCTCCACCGGCCTTTTTTGGTGTTGGGTATTTTCGAGATAGGGTCTCATGAACTATTTGCTTTGCCCAGGCTCATTTCAAATGGCAATCTTCCTGACATCTGCCTCCTGAGTAGGTAGGATTACGGTCATGAGCCCCCAGCATTTTACAAAAAGTTGCTGTGCCACTGGTGTTAAGCAAGACAGTCTGATGTGGTACACAGTCAAATAGCAGCTCTCTTGGGATTTTACTATTTCTGTATTTTTTTGTTTGCTTTTGTTTTTTTGAGACAGAGTCTTGCTACATAAATCAAGCCAGGCTGAAACGTGAAAGTCTCCTGCCTCAGCTTACTGTTGTTGGAATTGCAGTGTGTATCACCACGTCCAGCTCAGGATCTATTTTACTGTACTTTAAAAACCACAATTTTATGAAAAGTATGGGTTAGACAAAGGGAATAAGAATGGTAATTAACAGCACTGGTAGCACCCAACTATGACAAAAATCATGAAAGTGGAAAACAAATGGAAACATTGCCTTGGAAGGATTAAAAGAATGAGGTGAAGCTGGGCACTGGTGGCTCACGCCTGCAATCCTAGTTACTCAGGAGGCAGAGATCAGGAAGATCACAGTTCAAAGCCAGCTCAGGCAAGTAGCTTGAGACCCTATCTCAAAAAAACCCATCACAAAAAGGGCTGGTGGGGTGGCTCAAGGTATAGGCCCTGAGTTCAAGCCCCAGTACTGCAAAAAAAAAAAAAAAAAAAAAAGAACATGGCAAACGCCCAGTGGGAATGAATAGCAAACATACAATGGGTGCCAGGGAGGGAGGAGTTGCCAGCACCAGGCAGAAAGGCTCTCAATGAGAGATGGGAGGCCTGCCAAGAACACCCTTAAAACTCTTCCTGGACTTGAGCCAGGTTCCATGGACCCAAGGGCCAACCTCTACCAGAAGTGCAGTGAAGGGCAGCACTTGTCATTTGTTGTGGAATAAGAGTTAAGAGATTCTGGACAGGTTCTTCTACTCAAATTCTCTGTATTTCCTCCCAGTTTTCCTTTGTCATATTATCCAGACTTCATCCAACTATAGTTAAGTTTACTTGTATTAATAAACTCTTTTTAAATTTCAAATACACTTGGGAGAGCTGTCAGTCACTCATAGCTTAGTAAGATCTGTATTCAGACTGCCTTCCTTCAAGTACTTAGGTTGAAGTTTAGTAGTAGAATTTTAATAAGCAGAGGCAAGAAAGGGGAGTGTCAGTGTAAGGAGGAAGAGTGTGCTGCAGAGCAGCGTGCTAAAACGGAGGGGAAAGATTTGTAGAAGATGGCCAGACACCTTCCAGCTAGGTTCATTTCACCATTTTTTATATGCTTGGCCCTGAGGGTTGGCATTAGAAACAGAACTCTTTTTCCAACAGTGCACTAAAAAGTGGTGGCTTTTTTGTTTTCTGGTGGCACTGGGGTTTGAACTCAGGGCCTCACATTTGCTAGGCAGGTTCTCTACCACTTGAGCCACTCCACCAGCCTTTTTTCGTACTGGATTTTTCTGAGATAGGGTCTGGCGAACTATCTCCCTGGGCTGGCTTCAAACCGTGATCCTCCTGATCTCTGCCTCCTGAGAAGCTAGGATTACAGTTGTAAGCCACCAGTGCCTGGCTAAAAGGTGTTCTTGTTGGGCCCACAAAGAAAGCGATAGAATTTCTTTTCCTTTATACTTGGCCAGCAGCAAAACAGGAAACACATGTGTTACTTACCTAGTTTGACCACAAAGTTGATAAATCTCTGGATACAAAACTAGAAAGGAACAAAGAAATCTGTATTACTGAACTGTGAAAACAATTTATTACAATTTAGAAATCAAATTATAGAAACTATACACCTTAGTTTTCTGGAGGTTTATCAGGGTAGAAAAAGAAAAACCAACTAAGGGCAGTGGAGATCCATTCAAGGTAAAGTCAGGTGTTTTCATACACAAGGATTTTACAGAATGGGCCCATGTAGGAAAGAAGCTTCAGTGACAGAATGTACAGGTGAGTACCCAAATTTAGCACTGAGTGCAGGGGCTTTCCGGCTGGAGTTCATAACACCTCTGAGGTATTCTCTAAGATACACTTTTGACAAGACACTTAGGAGAATTAACTTCTAGATCCTCAGCTTTCAAAAGTGCTGTTTTTAAAAATTCATCAGCATAAGAATTTCCATGTATTGGAAGTACAGGTTGTCCTTTGATAGTTTCACTTTCAAAGTCCTTGTCCCAATTTTGAAAAAATTAAAGATAGACCTATATTATCATGGCCTTGGGAGACCTCTGGGGAACTAAAGGAGTAAATCAAAATGTTAGTATTAAGCTGGGTGTAGTGGTGCATGCCTAAAATTCCAGCTGCTTGGAAGGCTGAGGCAGGAGGATGACAATTTTGAGGCTAGAACTCCTGTTTTAAAATAAAGCAAAAAGAGCCAGAGATATTAGCTTAATGAGAGAGGTTCTTTCTTGTCTACCATGTGTGAGACCCCAGGTTCGATTCCCAGTACCATAAAAAAGTTAGTAGTGATACTGATAAGGAGAGTGACAGAGTGATTCTTCTGACTAATTCAGTTCTTTGCTTTCAACATATGACAGCTAAAAAATTATTGAAAATCAAGCATTCTGTGATTTTGGACTGTGATTAAAAAATGTTCAAAGAAGGGCTGGCAGAGTGGCTCAAGAGTGTCTGCCTAGCAAACATGAGGTTCAAACTCCTGTACCACCAAAAAAAAAAAAAAAAAAAAAAAAAAAAGTTCAAAGAATTGGATGACATAGCTATAGTTAAACTTCTCCCATTCTTATCTACTAATTTATAGAAACAAGGCTTCATAGCACTTATTTCTCTAAAAAAAAAAAAAGAAATAGTATTGAGGCAGAACTTTAACAATCCCAGCTTTATGTAATAGCCACAAACCCATGAATTCATGAACAAATTGGTTTAAAAATAAGAGTCCCAGCTAGCTCATTAAAGAATACATTTCCTTTTTTTGGAGTGGGACTGGGGCTTGAACTCCAGGCTTCATGCTTACAAAGTAGGTGCTCTACTACCTGAGCCACACCTCCAGTCCATTTTGTTCTGTTATTTTGGAGATGAAGTCTTGTGAACTATTTGCCTGGGCTGGCCTGGAATGGGAATCCTCCTGATCTCAGCCCCCCAAGTAGCTAGGATTACAGGCATGAACCACTGGTGCCTAGCTCAGGATAGATGTTCAATTACATTTTACTTTGATGTTGAAAAACATTTACCAAATGTGTAATATATTTATGTTGTTTTAATCACTGAGAAATAAAATACAACAAAGAATACAATCTTAGTACTCACAGCCTTACCAACATATGTGGTATGTTCTCCCTGACCCCACACCATCTATAGCACACTACATTTATTGCCCTGTTTTCCATTTAATACATCAAGTAGCTCTTTCTTGATCAGAAAATATAAAGCTATCTCATTCTTTTAAAGGGCCACATATAATTCCACTGCATAACTTGAGCATCATGTATTTAACCATTAATGTTCAGCCTTATGGATGGGTGTTTGGGCTGTCTCTGTATTTGGTATTATAAATAGAGCTGCAAGGTATATCATTGTACCTGTGTCATTTCACACATGTAAATATCATAGATGGCATTTAAGACCACAAGAGCAAATGAGAGAAGCTGAGCCATAACTTTTTACTTGAGTGAAAGCTCCAAGAGGGCAGTAACTAGCTTTATTGAAACTAGGCAGGTGGCATAAATAATCCACATGCCAGCTCAGCCTCTGGCACATGAAGAAATGAGAAAATGAGACCCTGTCACACTTGCCTTCTGTAAGAAGAAACAGAGAATGTAGTAAACTGAATTCCTTACTGACACTGTTTTGAATGGGATAATTCACTTGAGTAGGGATTAAAGGGAAAAAAGAATCAGCCAGTGATGTTGGAAAGGCTAGCATCATAGCTGCTTCTCAGTTACTCCATCTATGATTTCCCTGTCACTCAGCTTAGAAAAGGTTGGAGTTTTTGGAAATAACTTCCAGGAGACTAAGGGAAAAAAATGAATGCAAAGAGATAGCAGTGTCTGTACAATTCAGACTTCTTATTCTAATTTAAGCCAAATCCTGCCAGTGGGTAGTTCAGGTGACATAGCTTCCTGGGTCCTACTCTGGATTCACCTACTCTTGGCTTCTCCTGGTCTGGGGCTAGACAAAGGTGAATATTAGATAAACTATTTAAATTTTAAGGAGGAAGTCAATTTATGCTGACCCAACTCTGAGGCCTAAGGGTAGGGAATGATCTGACACTCCTGGTATTGCTTCCTCATGTTCTCTTTGAGCTGGAGCTGCAGGTTACTCCTGTCACTCCCAGGATGCTCTGTCCTTCTGCTCTGTAGTCTCTGATGGCCTGTCATGTTCAAACAGATCCTTCATTTCAGCTTTATTAGGTCCAGCCACTTGCTTGGCATTTGTTTATGCCCCTCCATCTCACTTATCCTCCTGGGGTGCTCCTCTCAGTACTTTATACTGTCTGAAAATCCCCATGCCTTTGGGCCCCTAAGACTCTTTCTCTCCTGTCTACTCTGTTTCCTTCTTTCTTACTGCCTGTACCTCAAGTCTATATGCTCTCTAGCTGTCAAGACTGGCTCTACCCTTCAGGGATGCTCTTCTTTCTCTGCACAGTTAGACTGTTCTCCATGTAGCATTCACAACAGCCACTACTGCCTCTATGGTCTTCTCTGTAGCACAGGGCTGGTCCCTTTTCTCTTCCTATTTCAAAACCAGTGTCTCCTTTTGATTTCCCACTTACTTACTGCCTGCCTGGTGGATGTTTCCTGTTCTCAGCACATTTCCAGGTTTGACAGGCCTGGCCCACCCTAACTTTGGATCATTATCTCCCCATTTTGTGTTTCTTGGTTCATACTTGCTGGTATTCTGTGATGACTCAAGTGTGATGTCCTCGAAGGAATGGCATGTGGTCATTTCTCAGAAGTCTATGGACTTTTTTTTTTTTTAGGCACTGGGGTTTGAACTCAGGGCTTGGTCCTTGATAGATAATTGCTTTACCATGCTGGACACTGCTTTATAGTCACAAAAATACTTTGAAGAGAAGAGTAAAAATAAGATCCTTTCTGGGAGGAACAGAGAGAAGTCATTCCCGCATGGGGCCTGCCTTGATTAGACATGTAGAGGACATGGATAAAGGGGACAAGTTCCATTTTAAACAAGAAAAAAGTAAGAAACAGAAGAAAGGTAAAGCAAGAGGGAAAGAGGCAATTTTAATGAAGGCAGGTGTAGCAGGACTGCTGATGAGAACGAAGAAAAAGGATCCTCAAGTGGGGAAGAAATAAGGCTGTGACATACATGAAGGGAAGAAAAAGTTACCTGATAGTTTAGGGCCGAAGAGAAGTCTTTCCGTTCAAAAGCTTCCAACATCTGGTTTGTCTTTTTTCCCAGGTAATTATAAGTACTGGCAAGACAACAGCAAATATTGCAGATTCAATAATTCAGTGGGAAAGATCCAGCCCTTCATGCTTCTCTGCTGTTTAGAGGGAAAAAAGAAACCTGGACGCCTACAAGTCTGTTTTAGAGGACTTAGATCTATAGGACAGTCTTTAGTTCTGAGTTCTCACAAACTTTGAAGCACTGCCAACAGAGAAGGCAGAGCACGCCAAAGGAGATAAAGAAAAGAAGAAAATGGGAAAAGGCTAAAAGGAAAAACAAAGTAAAAGATGGCGGTATGCTTATAGGGTGGGATTGAGGCCAGCGCTGCCACAGGGCTCACACAGTGCTCACTGCTAGAGAACTGTGGACCAAATGTAGCATCTTTGGGAGTCCAAAATGCTGTAGGCTGAGAAACTGGGTGCATGGAGCACTGCGGCAAAAGGAGAAAATCCCAACAAATAACCTAGATTCTTTGCCAGGTTATTAGATACGGGTTTCTAGATGATTAGAAATACGATAAAATGAAGGATCATTTATATTAAGTGCCAAGTCCAGGTGCTCGTCCAGGTGCTCGGCATAAGCCGTGTTGATTCCTCTCAGAGTCCTCAAGGTGGGCCCATTTCCATTTTGCTCATTTGGCTATTGAGTTGCCACTGGGTCTTTGTATCACTCAATGCTATCTTCTATGATAGTTCAATAAAAATGAAAAGGAAACAGTTATTTGACTTAATAAAATGTTCTTGTGGATTAAAAAAACAATCTCTAACCCAACCAATAGAGACAAACATACTTACTGCTGAATTCTTAAGAGAAGCCAGCAAGCCGGGTAGAGGGCTGTAGAAATTCATAATAAAGCATTTCCCCATTTCTTTTTTTGGACTAGGATTTGAATTCAGAACTTCACACTTTCAAAGCTGGCCTCCAGTCCATTTTGCTCTGGTTATTTTGGAGATCTTGTGACTATTTGCCCAGGCTGGCCTTGAAACTCCATTTTCCCCGATTTCAGTCTCCCAAGTAGCTAGGATTATAAGTGTGAGCCACTGGCACCTGGCTGCAATTTCTTTTGCTCTTTCTTTTGGGGTGCTGGGAATCTAACTCAAGGCTTTGTATATTCTAAGTATTTGCTCCATCACTGAGCTATATTCGAATTGCCCTCAATATTTTTTTTTTCAGTACTGGGGTTTGAACTCAGGGCCTGCTCCTTGAGCCACTCCAGCAGCCCCCTTTCTCATGATGGGTTTTTTCGAGATAGGGTCTTGTAAACTATTTGCCCGGGCTGGCTTTGAACTCTGATCCTCCTGATCTCTGCCTCCTGAGTAGCTAGGATTACAGGCATGAGCCACCAGCACCTCAATTTCTTTAAAGGAAACAAAAGCAAGTCAAATATCTTCTAACATAGTAAATTGGCACCAGAAAATTTATTCATCTTGCTGTACCAGTAACAGAAGTGTTGTTGGTCCTGGTATATGTTGTAGACCCTGAGTCACAGCAAAGGATTTTAAGAATGTGATGTTCACATTATTAGGATTATTAGGACAACTTTCAGAATACTGAAATTTGAACCCCAGGGGTCCTTCGGTATATCCTTAATTAGACAGATAGGAAGGTGATTATAATTAAGAAGCAATGAAATTTAACCAAATGTACTTGATTATGTCGACAGAATTAATGCCTAGTATGGAGACCAAAAAACCTGAAGTTAAAAAATAGAATTTCCAGGGGATCCAGGCTCTGTGGGCTCACGCCTGTAATCCTAGCTACTCAGGAGGCAGAGATGAGGAGGATTGCAGTTCGAAGTTAGCCCGGGCAAATAGTTCGAGAGACCCTATTTCAAAAAAAAGAAAAAAAAAAATTTCCAGGAGAAAAAAATGGCTCTCTGGTCAACAAACGTGGCATTCAGGTTTCCTGGTTAGAAACATCTCTGAAGGTATGCTGGATGTTCCAGGCTATCCTGGCTTGGTGAACAAGCCATTAAGAGTATCCAAGATGGCGGCTCATGTCTGTGATCCTAGCTACTCACAAGGCAGAGATCAGGAGGATGCAGGTTCAAAGCCAGTCTTGGTCAAATAGTTGGTGAGGCCCTATCTCAAAAAAAAAAAAAAAAAAAAAAAACAAACCCATCACAAAAAAGGGCTGGTGGAGTGGCTCAAGCATTAAGAGTACCTGCCTACGAAGTGTGAAGCCCTGAGTTCAAATTGCAGTGCTGCCAAAAGAAAAAAAGAAAAAAAAAAAAAAACAGAAAAAACAATACACCAAAAAAAAAAAAAAAAAAAAAAAGGCTGTTGGAGTAGCTCAAGTGGTAGAGCACCTACCTTGCAAGTGCGAAGTGCTACATTCAAACCCTAGCACCACCAAAAAAAAGTATCCAAGTTGGAGTGGTATGGTAGAGCATGTTCTTAGCATGTATAATGCCCTGGGTTTCATCCACAGCATAAAAAAAAGAAAAAAAGGGGCTGGGGATATAGAACAGTGGTAGAACACTGGGTCCAATCCCCAGTATTTGCCTCTCCATGCACCTCCCAAAGAAAAAGAATACCCAAGTCAATAGTGCTTATCAAAGCCATGCTCACCAGGAACTTTTCCTCTACTGAGGAAATGTACTTTCAGTTTCTGCAAACATTTCCATCTGCCTGCAGGCAAATTCAAATTCATTAGGTTAAAAGGTGCAGTGGATGTGCTAACTGAACTACCTACCTTCTGCTGAGTGGGCACTGGGGCACACGATTCTGGTTTTCTGATCACAGCAGCATGGACTTCAGTAGACACTTAACTAAACCAGGCAGGGCTATCTTATGATCCCTGAGATGCCAATTTGGGCAACAATGACTAGCAGCATGCATAGTGAAGAAGAGAAAGCCATTTGGAGAGAAAGAAAAGAGAAATAAAGAGATGTGCAGAGGATGCAGAGGCAAGTCCCCAGAATACCATGGATGGAGGATGACTTGCCTTGGCGCTAAGAGCTTTGTCATTCCTGGCTTTCAGACTCTTTGGGGCCAGGTTGCATTTCCTTCTCTTGGGTTTTATGTCATTTTTCAGTATTTCATAATAACTTACCTTCTTTTACATAAGCTAATTTGAATGGATTTCTTTTATCTGTAACCAAATTTGTGACAAAGGCAGCATGAGGCCAGCCTTGAGACACCACCGATCACTGGGTTCTACAGAGCTAACAGCAGGTTCACTAAGTTACAGCTCCTGTGCAGGTCTCAGCTTGTATGCTCGCTCACGTTTCTCAGCTCTGACTGCAATGGATACTTTGACATAACAATGACTGATTCTAACAAACTGCTAAGTTCTGCTTAATTCCCTTTCACTGAAAGGTAGCTTCTATTAGAAGGGATGGACATGTAAGAAGTATAAATTTTTTTTGACAGTACTAGGGTTTGAACTCATTGCCCTGGGCTTTCTAGGCAGGGGCTCTATCAGCTGAGCCCTGCCCCCCAGCCACAAGAAATATAACTATTCCAGTGAGGAGTGCCTTTACGGGAGACATGATGCTTACCTGCCCACTGCTCCAGTTGCCCCCATCACCAGACCACTCAACAGTTGCTAATGAGAAACAGACAGAGTACTCACTTTTATGAGAAAGAGAAAGAGATGCTACAACATAAAAGGTTACATAACTGCTTATGAGGGAAACTTACCTGCTGGTATAGGCCAGAGTGTGACTTACCTCATCCACCCCAAAGAGCAAAGCAAATTGTCGCTGGTGATTCTGATCAACACATTGCCCGAAGTCTAAGAGATCTGTGTCACTGAATTTCAGCCCTTGGAAGGTTGGGATCTTATCCTGAATCCCATCCAACAACTCCTCAGCACGAACTGTTTGAAATGATAATGCCTCATTAATGCATACGGCCCCACATCAGTGTTGTTGTCTGCCAGAATTGACTGGTGATGGCATAATCGCTTGCCCCTGCCTAATAGCTCCTGTGTGCGTGTCACATTGTAAACCTAAGCTTTGCATTCCTTGAGAACAGTAGATGGATACTAGTGATATTGTATATATGTATTTGGTCTCTGCCTCCAGTTCCTGAGACTGAGCTCCTAGGGGTGTGAGAAAAACCTTTTGTTCTGATATTTGGTCTTTGACCCTGGTTCCTGACATCAAGCTCCTAAGACCTTTGGAATTTCCTGAGTGATAGGTGCATCTGACACAGTTTCTATATCCCTTAGAATTTTCTGGGTGATAGCAGCACCTTGTGTTTTAATGAGGTGACTCCTGGTGGGTTCTTGGACAGTCTCTGGATGGAGCTGGTTGCCAGAGAAACCAACCCCATGATTACAGGGTTGAGAATTTCAGTCCCATTTCCCAACCTCTGGGGGAGAAGACAGGGGTTGAAGATTGAGTTGATCACCAATGGTTATGCCTATACAATAAAGTCTTCATAAAACCCCAAAAAACAAGGTTCAGACAGCTTCTGGGCTGGATGAACATGTGGAGGTTCTTGCTGAGTGGTGCATCCAGAGAGGACACAGACGTTCCACATCCCTCCCCACCTACCTTGCCTGTGCATCTCTTCATGTTGATCTTTTGTAGTAAATAGAGAGTAGTAGGGTACAGTGTTTCCGTGAGTTCTGTGAGCTGCTCTAGCAAATTAATCAAACCTGAGGAATGGAAACCCCAACTTGCCAGTGGTCAGAGTCCAGGTCACAACCTGGTACTTGAGACTGCATTTGAAGTGGGACAGTCTCGTGAGACTGAGCCCTTAACCTGTGGGGTCTGATGTTATCTTTAGGTATGTAGTGTCAGAATGGAACTGAATTATTGAACATCCAGTTAGTCTCCAATAGAGAATTAGTTGTTGGTAGAGAGCAATTCCCCGCTTCCTGTCATTTTATTTTAGTGACTAGAGGTGAAGTAGTGTTTTGTGTTGTGTGACTAGTATGAGAAAGTAAGAAAAATTCTTTTTTCCTCAGCCAGACACTGGTGGCTCACGCCTGTAATCCTAGCTACTCAAGAGGCAGAGATCAGGGGAATTATGGTTCAAAGCCAGTCCCGGGCAAATAGTTCAGAAGACCCTATCTTTAAAAAATCCATCACAAAAAAGTGCTGGCAGAGTGGCTTAAGTGGTAGAGTGCCTGCCTAGCAAGCATGAGACCCTGAGTTTAAACCCCAATACTACCAAAAAAAAAAAAAAAAAATTGCTATTTCCTCAGAATATTTTAGAAGCACAGCCTTGGGCTAGGGATGTAGCTTAGGGATAGAGTGCTTGCCTAGCATGTGTGAAGCCCTTGGTTCAATCTCCAGCACCACAGGGAGAAAAAAAAAAAAAGCACACACCCTCCATTTTTTTCTTTTATGAAATTTAGAAAACAATGGATTTAAAAATTAATCTAAGAAATTTCACCTAATTGTAAAATTCTTCTTACTGGAGAAGTACAGTAATAATAAAAGAAAAGCTAAAAAAGTCAGAAGAGATCAGAGTACTTTTCCATAGGCTAGGCACTGAGAACACTGCAGGTACAAGACAGATGAAGTCCTTCTCTAATGGGGTTTACTGTTTCATATCTTCTCATAGAGGAAGATGGAGACACAGGTGTTTGCTGTAAGTGCTCACTGCTTGACTCTTCATTCATACCTAAGAATTTCCACTATGGAAATTCCACTATGTGAATGACTGATAAAGGATTGATGTATTGGAGAGGCTCATTTTGAAGCAATTGGAAGTACCTCATCAATTGTGTTGTGTGTTTATGGGGTAGGGTGGGATGGAGTGGGGATTTCTTAGTGAAATAGGGTAAGATGTGAGAGTTGGGAGGAAATATCAAAAGAAGCCATACTTACTCTTTACTCCTGTCAAGGCAGGAATGTGATAGTAATAAAATGGCAGTGCAGGGGCAGTGGCAGCCACCTCTTGCAGGAAATTAATCAGAACATCTGAAAGAATAGAAGGAAAAAATTAGGGTGTGAACAATTGTAAAACAGTGGCTTCTGCTAGGCACAGGTGTCTGAGGCCTGTAATCCTAGCTACTCAGAAAGCAGAGATCAGGAGGACTGAGGTTCAAAGCCTAGGGAAAATAGTTCACAATACCATTATCTCGAAAAATATCCAACACCAATAAGGGCTGGTGGAGTGGTTCAGGGGGAGAGTGCTTGCCTAGCAAGCAGCTAGTTCAAACCCCAGTTTTACTAAAACAAAACCCAGTGGCTTTCTCGGATTTAAAAAAAAAAAAAAAGAGTCCTCTGATGAAATGCAGCCATCCTTCTTAGAAGCTAAACATTCTGACCACTCTTACCATTCCTCATATTGTTACTGTAACATCTTTGCAACTCACTTTGTCTAAAGTTTTATTTATGTATTTTGCAGTGCTGGGGTTTGAACTCAGGGCCTTCACCTTGAGCCACTCCATCAGTACTTTTTTGGTGAAGGATTTTTTCAAGATAGGGTCTCGAGAAATTATTTGCCTGGACTGTCTTTGAACTTCGATCCTCCTGATCTCTGTCTCCTGAGTAACTAGGATTACACGTTGAGCCACTGGCACCTACCTTGTCTGAAGTTTTATTTTTCTTTCTGTAGAAACCTAAATAAGATGATTATTTTCCTACCATACTAAATTATTAAACTGTGGGTGGAGGTGTAATTCAGCATGGAGTACAGAGTGAGCACGCTCAAGGTCTTGGGCACAACCTGCCCTCCCATCCAAAGATCTTGGGTACAACCTGCCCCCCAACCCAAAGTAAGAATTTGATGCAAACCATGTATTATCAGACAATGGGGGCATAAGAACCAGAAGCCTGTCAGATAAGATCCTTGTCTTTGTACCTCACAGAAAGGCTATAAGTATGCAAAGATCTACAGGACTGAGGACTAGATCAGAGCAATACAGTCATAACTGAGAACACTCTAGTACAACAGTATAGACAACATCTGCCTCAAGAGGGGTGTTTTGAGAGAGGTGACATATTTCATAAAAACTCCACGAAGGTTGGTGCTTTTCCCTTTTGAGAGTGATCCAGACAGACCAGAAGAGTGCACGCTGGTTTACTGAGGAAGTGGGAATCCCTATGTCACCCACCATAAGTTTCAATGGCAACATCACTGCACATGATACAAAAGTCCAGCAGAATTGTTTTCCCTTTGGATGTTGCCAAGTAGGCGGAGAGTGAGCTTTTTCTACTTCCTCTCAATATTGTGATTATTTAGTCAGTCCATGATAAATACTTCAGACAAACTTATCATATGTAATTTTTTCCTTTTTAATCTTTTACAAAAATTGTTCATGTAAAAATGTGTAAAACCATGTGAAAAAATTTTTTAAAATCTTCATTGTAAATCTCCAAATTAGTTATTTACCTATACTAAGCAACTATTTTTTATCTACCAACAGTAAGTAGGTGATGTTTCATGATGATTTTGAACAACTATTATACACTTGACTATGGCTTTACTTAATCATGCATACAAATAGCATATTGGCCAGTATAAAGAAAACCCAAAAAACCAAGTAACATCTTACGTTTTTATCTTATAAAATTTCTTTTATTGCTAATCAGTAAGGCTTAAAATGTCTCTGTATACTTGGACACATAAACAGTTTCTACAGAGAGAGCAGTGGAGAAGGAGAAATCAATAGCTTGACATTTTGGAAGACAATGGATATTTCTGTGAAATCTTTTCAAATTTGTTACTATTCATCAACCCTAAATAGAACATGTAGTTTCAAAATGACTATCACATATACTCCTCTTCTTGGAGAAAAGCAGTTCCATGCTTTGCCACATTACTCCGGCACCCTACACAACTTATTGGACAATGAGTGGACACCTAACCCAAATATAGGTACCTACCAATTGGAGCTCAGTAGATGACCCAATCTGATTACTTGGCAAAAGAATTGAAGTGCTTTAATGCAATCTATGGACCTAGAAGGAACAAATACTCAGAGACCCACTGTACTATTGAAACTCCATGCCTCTAGTCTGTAGGGCTTTGCCTTTAAGAATTAAATATAATTTAATAAGAATTTGCAATGGAAGCAAGAAGTTGACTGTGTGAGGCACTGTGCATTTAGGCGTATCTACTTACCTTTGTTCCAAGGCTTGAGAAAGAAAGGTGCAATGACAGCAATGCCATCAGCTCCTATTTCTGCTGCATGTTGGGCCTTTATAAGAAGAAAGACCATTCTAGAGTAAGTGATTTACTGTAGCCACCTACAGCTTACATATTAGTGTTCAGCAACAAACAACCTCCTCAAATGTGCCAACTAATACGCCACTAGGGAATGGAAAGATTGGCCAAATTCAGTGATAATGTCATTGCCAGGAAAATTGCAGGTTGCAAAGTAGAGATCCTTGGTGGAGGTAAGCTATGTACTTAATCTTATACTTATTTGGGGTTTTTGTTTTGTTTTATTTTTGTTTTGAGACAGGGTCTTGCTATGTAGAGCAGGTGGGCCTCAAAATTGTGATCCTCCTGCTGGGTTTCTGAGCATGTGCCTGGCCACTTTTTTGGATTTTGTCAGTTCATAAAACCTTGCTAAGGAGACATGAGTGGTTCACTTTTGATGTAACAGTATTTAGCAGAGAAACTTGCAGCTGTAATTTCTCTCCTACTGGTCAGCCTATGAATGATAGTATCTTTCCCATCTAACGGCATGATAGTCATATTTTCAAGTCTACATTACAGACTGGGAATGCAGTTGAGAAAGGTTAAGAAGTAAAAGACTGTATACATCACAAAAGGTGTATTGTATCATGCTTTGATGGTTTCTCAAATTCCGCTAGAAAAAAAATGAACACTTCCTCTCGCTGGGCTCTCAAAAATATTTTTTTCTGTATCTATTACTTTTTTCTTTTGTGGTACTGAAGTTTGAACTCAGGGCTTACATCTTGAGTCACTCCACCAGCCCTTTGTTATGATGAGTTTTTTCAAGATAGGGTCTCACGAACTATTTGCCTGGGCTGGCTTCAAACCACTATCCTCCTGATCTCTGCCTCCTGAGTAGCTAGGATTACAGGCATGAGCCATCAGCATTCGGCTTTTTTTTTTTATTAGCATAAATTACAAGGAGGTTTCATTGCCTCGGGACATTTCTAATTTATCATAAGTACAGTACCTATATCTACCATACTGTAAGAAAGTTGGGTATGGTGACTGTCCGTCCACTGGAGCATTAGTCCCCTGATGGCAGGGGTCAGACCTTGTTCACCCTTGTGTTCATTGTGTTGGACATATAACAAGGACTCAGTATATGCTTGTCGTTTCAAAATGTGCTCCACCACCAGAAAGAGAAAAGGACTTCTCTTTGAGACATCAAATTATAAAAATCTCTATGTAGTAGATATGATTAATGTTCTGCAGAAGTAAATTTAGAGAGTTTAAAAGAGGAGTTTGGGATATAGTGCAAAGACCAGTCAGGACCCGGCATATAATTTCATTACACAGCATCAGATGCGTTTGAATCATTGTTTAGTACTTTGTTTAAGAAAAGAGAAGAGGGACTGATGGAGTGGCTCAACTGGTAAGAATGCCTGCCTAGAAAGCATGAGGCCCTGAGTTCAAAACCCAGTACTGTCACACACACACACACACACACACAAAAAAGAGCTAGCCGGGTGCCAGTGGCTCATGCCTATAATCCTAGTTACTCAGCAGCAGAGATCAGGAGGATCACAGTTCAAAGCCAGTCCTGGGCAAATAGTTTGCAAGACCCTATCTCGAAACACCCTTCACAAAAAAAGGGCTGGTGGAATGGCTCAAGATGAAGGCTGCGAGTTCAAGCCCCAGCACTGCAAAAAAAAAAAAAAAAAAAAAAAGCGTAACCTGAGTGAGAGCAATGAAAAAGAAATACCCAGAGAAAGTTGATGGTAGCCCCCATTCAAACACCATTCAGGGCAGCGGTGGTGAGGCTAAGTAGATGTCAACATCATTGCCTCCGTGGCAAGACTGCCTCTATTCCAGGAGATTACCCCTCACCCAGAGGATCAGCCCCAAAATTATCTCTGTACTATTGTTGTGCTCAGCCCAGTGGATGACACTTCTTTTGTGTCCTGAGATGACAATATTTTAAAATGTGTATTACACATTAGAAAAGAAAGCTACTGAAAAGAGAAAAAACAGTGCTTACATCATACTCCCCTAGTTGAAAGACCTTTTATAAGAGCAAATCAAGTGTAAGAAGAATGAATCAAGTCTCCTAGCTTTAACTCCAGGCTTATGAAGCTAGTAATTTAATGTTGTCCCTGGTGGTTTGCTTAAAGCAGTTTTTTTTTGGTGGTGGCACTGGGGTTTGAACTCAGGGCCTTACTCTTGCCAGGCAGGCACTCTTACCACTTGAGACACTCTACCAGCCCTGTTTTATGTCGAGTGTTTTTGAGATACGGTTACTTAAACTATTTGGCTGGGCTGGCTTTGAACCAACATCCTATTGATTTTTGCCTTCTGAGTAGTTAGGATTACAGGTGTGAACCACCAGGGACCGGCTGCCTAAGCGCATTCAACCAATTTTGCAAGTATGTATTAATGTATCTCACTTATAAGTCCAAATAATAGGAAAATCAATCAAACAAAATCCATCGAGAAGGTACTGGGTTACACCGGGTGCCAGTGGCTCCGTCTGTCATCCTAGCTACTCAGGAGGCAGTGATCAGGAGGATCTCGGTTAAAAGCCAGTCTAGGCAAAAGTTTGCAAGATCCTATCTCCAAAAAACCCATTACAAAAAATGGCTGGTGGAGTGGCTCAAGGTATAGGCCCTGAGTTCAAGCCCCAGTACTGCAAAAAAAAAAGATACTGGGCTAGATCAAATCACTGTAATCTTTGGAGTTACAGTTCTAAATCCTAGAAACATGGTTAATTAGTAGTAGTTCTGGCACTGGACCTTCTGATAAACAATTTTAAACATTTTGTGTCTTCTTTTCTCAAGCACTTCACTCAGGCCTCAAAACTACTACCATCTGCTTTTCTGCCAACAACTTTTTTTTTCTTCTTCTAGTAGGACTGGGGTTTGAACTCAGGGATTCCTGCTTGCAAAGCAATTGCTGTACCACTTGAGCCATACCTCCAGTCCATTTTTGCTCTGGTTAGTTTGGAGATGGGGGCCTTGTGAACTGTTTGCCCAGGCTGATCTTGAATCGAAATCCTCCTGATCTCAGCCTCCCAAGAAGCTAGAATTGTAGGCAAGTGCCCAGCTTCTATCAACAACTTTAACTGCTTCCTCCTTTGCATTTTGTTCCACCTAACCTGCTAATCCCTAAATCTAGAGCAATCCAATTGTTTGCATTGTTGATCTGATATGCTACCTGAATCATGTACCTAAAGAAAAATTTCCACAGCTGTGCTGGTGACATGATAAAATCCGGTTTACAGCTTTAGCTGGTTTTCAGCTCCACTGGACAATCCTGTGTTTCGCATTTATCTCCATTCAAGTCAGCAGTTGCAATTACCTCCCTTTCTCCAAGGCTCAATTTCCCATCCTCTTTCTGTCCAGCAGATGGCCTTTCCGGAGAAAACAGAAGTTGGCTCAAGCTCTGCACTTCACCTACAAATGTAACTGCATCTATACCCATCCTCACGTTGCTTGGAGAAAGGTCGCACCGTCTCCAATCCTGTAGTTGTCATCACCTTGGGCCACAGTAGCCTTTCTATGGCTCACTGCTACTTCTCAATGGTGCCTCCTGAGGTCCCACACCTTATCTCATCTGGCATAGCATCCACCACAGACCAAATATAGCACTGATACTAATTTCAGCATGAAAATGGAGGTCCCTTGAGCAGTCTCTCCCAGATGGAACAGCATACATACCAGTTCTTGTGACTCCTTCAGGCTCAGTGCCCCTACATGAATCACCACCTGGTCCAACCTGTAAAAGAGAAAGCAATGTGAATCACTTGAGGACACAAAAGACCACACCATGCTGGTTTGGGCTGGTTTAAGCAGTTAGCTAATGCATATTGATCTCAAGCTCAAGATTCTTAAATTCTACTGTGATTGATTTTAAATTAATCTAATTAAAAGAGCTTGTGGTGATCTTTTTTTGCAAAATAAAAAAAAATTAATACACAAAAAAATCACTAAAATCTTTTTAAGTGCAAACACTAAAAAGATACAGTGCTATTACCTCGGTGCTTATAAAAAACGAGGCGAAAATGTATGAAAATATCTCTGCCCTCATTTAGTAAGTAAGCTTGCCACTACTCAAAGTTATTTTATTTTTTATTTTGTTTTTGGCCAGTACTGGGGTTTGTGCTCAGAGCCCTGCGCTTGCTAGGCAGGTGCTCTACCATGAGCCATGTCCCCAGCTCTTTTTGCTTTTTAGGTTATTTTTTAGATAGGGTCTTGCTTTTTGCCTGGGGCAGACCTCGAACTGTGACCCTATTTAGACTTCCCAAGTAGCTGGGATGACAGGCACAGCTAGAAGAAACTACCTTGGGCTTTAATACAAACTTCCCAATAGGAGAAGGGGGTTCCTAAAAGTCTTCTGGCCCTCCTGGATCATTTCCCTTCCCCATTCATAGCAGTGACCACTCCCAATCTATTCCTATCACGTTCTAAATTCCACCCAACAAATTCTTTTGGGCAGGTGTCATTGCTCTTCAGATCCCAAAGATAAAGAAGCTTTGCATTCTCTCACCTTTCCTGCTCTCCACCTCTATGCTTAGCTACATTCCTGGGGGCCTGTGTTTCCTGTTTTTCAGCTGTGTCTATAGCTACCTTTGATTGAATTTCAACTACCCCTCTTAAACTTTCCAGCAAAGATGGTTCTCCACTTTTCTGTGTTTTTAATCTCTTCTCCCATGGCAGGATCCTTTAGCATACATACTGGTTTGAGACTTCCCAAGTTTAAGGAAAAGAAACCACCTTTCTTTCAACCCTGCCTCTTCCTCCCTAATCTAGGACTCCATCTCTCATTCCCTTCACCTGAAAACTTCAGCAAGAACAAACGACAGTCACTGCCTCTACTTCCTTTTCTGCTGCTATACAGCTCATTGCAGTCTGGCTTCTCTACAGTAACCCAACTGGCCCTGCTCTTTCTGAGGTCATGGGTGACTTCCCTCCTGTCAAGTCAAGTGATTTCCTCAATCCTCCATTACTGACTTTCACAAAATCTAATAATTACTTGAAAAAATATAACAACCCAGCACTCACGGAAAATAGTTATAAGTTCTTTTCTACTGCTTAGTATTATGTGTATTAAAGGTACCAGCACCGTTCTAGTTCTCAGCACCTCATAAAGTATATTGTCCCCACTTTACACAGACAGGCTAGCTCTACAGTCCCTGCTCTGAATCATTGTGCCACAGTGTGTATGACATACACTGTGCCACATGACAGGGTTCATTCCCGACCTCTCACTGCCCTTCTGAGGGCTTTCTGTACCTGATCCACCTTTCCATCCTCCCCTTTTGCTTTTCTTAATGTTCATCTCTAGCCTCCTCTTTTTCCACTTTGCCCATGTCTTTAAACTTTTCAGGCCCCACACCTGACTGAAATTAACTGAAAGCTGATGGATCACCAGCAAATGCTTAAGAGACCTGCACTCAAACCTGGCATTTAATTTCAGAGTATTCAAGTTTGCCCTGAACCCATTTTAGGATCCCCAAAGACGGTAGGGCTTCACACTGACAATTTGTTGTCTAGGCTCACTCGGGATTTACCTCCAATGTTTGCCTCCACTTAGGCAACACCTAAGGAGTTCTTATATACTTATCAGAAGGGTCAGAGAGTTAGATTTCATGATCTGACTCTCCGTTGGATGGAAAGCAACCAGAGGTAGAGACCTGGCTTTATTATCCCTGGGGCTGTGTTAGTACTCTGTGTTAGCAGAGTACTAACACATAGATAAAACGGAGAATGACTAAGATGTGGTGATGGAACTGACAGTGTCCTGTTTATTCTACCATGGCATGAACTGGGTGTTACAACAAAAACAGAACACTATGTGGAAGTTTAGAGGGTACAGAAAGTCCCTCAACAGCACAAGAGGAAGAGTATACTGAGCCCTATGCACAGAGAAGACCTGAAGGAATGTGAGGGCTGACATAAACATCTGGCACCCTCCCAGAGAAGGGAAGAGATATGAGCTGATCAGTGGAAAAGTCAGGCACCCAGCAATCAGTCATGATCACTTCCCCATTTCCTCTTTCTGCCCAAAGAAGATAACCCTGAGGGGTTTGGCTCTGTAGATGGATTAGGGGGTAGGGTTTTCAGGTTCCAGATGGGAGCAGGGGTACTTTGGAGTTTGGTTGCCCTTCCACATAGAAAGAAAGGGTGCTCCTCACCTAAGTGCAGGGTGCCCTGGACCCCTGCTCATCTTCCCACCAGCTCACTGGAAGTTGGGACAGCTGTGTCACTGAAGAAGAGTTGCACTCAATACAGCTCTTGCTGATGTAGTGTATTTTGTCTTGGCAGGGTCACTCACTTGTTCCTCCCTTGTGTCACCCATTCTTCTGCCACCCGGCGACGTTCAGAGATGCTCAGGGACAGGCCTTCTCCTGTTGTGCCATTCACTGTTCCAAATAAAGAGTCAGTCAGTCAGTGGGCCGTCCAATGCCTTTTGTTCCTCCAAACCCAAGTCTGGAAGTATGGGATCCAAATCCCTGCTCGAGAGGAAGGGACACTGACAAATACCACAGCAAGGAGTTGGGAGGGGAAAATGCCATGTGTCTATTTTTTGGGCTTTTTTCTACCTTCACCTCATCAAAAGCAGTGGGAAGGTTAACTGTGACTTGTAATTACCTCTCCTTGCCACTAGGGACAGATGGCAAATAGTTTGAATGCTGACAGAGATAACTGACCACATTTTTGGCCAATTTCCAAACACCCAGTCCTCTATCAGGGCAAACATGATAGGAAAACCTGCTCCATCCAGTCCTGCAGGTCAAGGAGGTCATAAGAGGAGTTACTCACCAGGTGCTTCTGCTTATTACAGATCTAAAATACCTGTCTTTGACATGGTTGTAGTGCTATAAGATGCCTCATTTAAACAAAATAATTCATAAGTAAGCACGGAGAATTAATATTTTTTGTACCAAGGACTCATATATTCCCTTATATGAAGGGAGAAGTATGAACTGCTCTGCAAAAGTCAGGGGCCCAGCCTTCAGTCACCATCCCCTTCCCCACAGCAACCCAGCACAGCAGAAATTCTCATTTACAGAAGAATAATGAAGTCAGAAACACTAAATAATTTAAATTCGATTCCAAAATTCATCCTCTTTCCTCTACTCTTCTTTCTCTCTCTATCACTTGACTCACTCTCTTTCTCTCTCTTTCTCAACAAGGGACCAGGTCTCACCATGCAGTCTAGTCTGGCCTCTAACTCACAATCCTTCTGCCTCAGCCTCCTGAGTGCTGAGATTGCAGGTACATGCCACCACACTGGGCCTCTTCCTCTTCTATGCCATCATCTCTTAATGACAGTAGGAAGATGGAGGTGGCAGTAGTGTACATTATTGTGGCTTCCTGGATAGGGTAGCACTCTGAATCTCTAAGTACTGGGTTGGAATAGGGGAGGTTGGGAGGCAAGAGACAGTAGGTCTCATGGTGGCATGAGTTTGCTCCAGTCATAGGGACAGTCCAGCTCCTTCCCTATGCCCAGGGAAGACTTGGGGCACTCTGCGGAGTATTTCTCTTCCCTACCATGGCTTAAATACATAGGATCTACACTGAGTGGTGTGTAATCAGGTCTCTTTTTTGTTTTGTTTTTGTGGTACCGGGGCTTGAACTCAGGGTCTTGCTCTTGCTAGGCAGGCACTCTGCCACTTGAGCCACTCTGCCAGCCCTTAGGTTTTGGTTCTGACATTGGCCCCCAGGTCACTTTTTTATACCTTTTTTTTGGTACTGGGGTTTGAACTCAGGGCCTCCACCTTGAGCCACTCCACCAGCTCATTTTTGTGATGGATTTTTTCGAGATATGGTCTTGTGAACTATTTGCCTGGGCTGGCTTCAAACCACAATCCTCCTGATCTCTGCCTCCTGAGTAGCTAGGATTACAGGCGTGAGTCACTTGTGCCTGGCTCATGCCAAGTTTTAACCTCTGCTGATTTTGACCGTGGTGCTTCTAGGGCCAGAATACAGAATGAAAATGTATCCAGGGAGCAGACAGCCGAGAATACCACATAAAATGCAGGTAGGTATACTTTTTAGGCTTAAAATGTTCAGGGTCTGATTTTTTTTTTTTTTAAAGACAGGGTCTTGCTATGTAGCCCAGGCTGACCTAGAACTCATGATATAGCTTAGGCTGTTCTTGAACTTTCTACTCTCCTTCCTCATTCTCCCTGAGATTACAGGTGTGTGCCAACAAGCTTGGCCTGATATTTTTTTCTTTTTGAAGATCTTTGCAGTCTGAAATAAAGGGGGATAAATGCTAATTCTCTGATTTATTCTGTGCTGCATTTGGAGTCTTTCTTCCATTCGTAATTTGAAAGCTCAGGCAAGGCAGACCAAAGCCCATTCTTAAAAGAGCTAAGGGAGCTTAGTTGTTACTAACGAGGAGGGCTCAGCTGTTATTCTATGCTTCTTGGTTGAAAGACTTAATCAGAAGTGTGTATCTGAGTCATGGATTTTTCATCTCAAAATGGAGATAAAAACAAATCCTTGTTTGTTGGCACTCCACTAAATGAGATCATCTCTTGAGATCTAACATCAGGGGTCTACAAATTCACCATTTTTAGTTAACCTAGCCAGGCTCCACCATGACCTGTGACACAATGACTCTGTAGCCAGATAGGCAGGTAATACCTATCTTTTAAGGACTGGACTAGAGACATGCAGAAAAATCACATGGTAACTTACCAAAAATGTTCTTCACTCCCTGTTCTTTCACAAGGTAATCCACATACTGGCCAATTACAGAAAAGTTGATTTCTCTAAAAGGCATGGGGAGAGTGAGTAAGAATGGATAGTTAGTCTTTTTATTTAATTATTATTATTTTTTTTGTGATACTGGGGTTTGAACTCCAGGCGTCATGCTTGCTAGGCAGAAAATCTACCACTTGAGCCACTCCACCAGCCCTAGTTAGTCTTTTTAGATGAACTTCCAACAATTCCCAGATCTATAAACTGTTCTCTCCTATTAATAGTTATTAAAAATCCACTTGGTTTTATGAAATTCTTAGTCTGCATAATGCCCAAGTCATTTTTTTTTGTTTTTGTTTTTCTGAATTAGGTGACTTCTCTACCCACTTACATGAGCAGAACACTCTTAGTTATTGACAGAGGTTTTACATTTAAACCTCACCACAAGTAATATTTAAAAAGCAGTTACCTAATCATCTTTTGTCCTTTTTCGGGAAGAGTGATGGTTGGGGACATGGTAAAATAAGAACTTAAAATATTCTACTTGGTGAGGAACAATCATTTCTTAGGTTTAGAAGACAGGAAAATTCAATCTTAACAATTTAAGAATTTTAGCACTTAACATCTGTGACAACAAATGACAACTTAGCCTCATCTGTATTTGCTAGGTTTTGCATTGCTAGGCAGGTGCTCTACCACTTGAGCCAGGCACCCAGTCCTTTTTACTTTATTTTATTTTATTATTTTATTATTCATATGTGCATACAAGGCTTGGGTCATTTCTCCCCCCTGCCCCCACTCCCTCCCTTACCACCCACTCTGCCCCCTCCCTCTCCCCCCCACCCCCTCAATACCCAGCAGAAACTATTTTGCCCTTATCTCTAATTTTGTTGTAGAGAGAGTATACTTTTTGCTTTATTTTTGAGATCAGGTCTTACTCTTTGCCTAGGCTGGTCTATGCCATGATCCTACTTATGCTTCCCAGCATTGCTGGGATGACAGGTATGTGCTACCAAGCCCAGCTTTTTCCATTGAGATGGGGTCTTGTGAACTTTTTTGCCCCAGTTGGCCTGGATCTGTGATCTCCCAATCTCAGCCTCCCAAGTAGCTAGGATTAAAGTCTTGTGTCACTGTGCCCAGCTGTATTTGGTAGTTTCAAACTGAAGAAAGTTGGAAAGGCACTTTGTTGTCACTGTTCAAAATGAGCTGACAAGCCTGGAAAATAGCAGCATGGGAATTTGGCCAGTTTGGCCCCCGTCTACCAGAACCTGCATTTTAGTGAGATCCCCAGGGGACCTGCCTGCCCATTGTAGTATGGGGCACACTGACCTTGTGAGACCTGATGCAACTTGAGGTGATAGGGTATTTTCCCTTAAAATCATATTGATTTTAAAATCTGTAAATTGACTCACAACTGTATTAAGTGTTCCCAATCAAAATGCAGGTGGGGCAATGAGCAGAAGAGAGTGAAAATCCAAAGGAGAACTGTGTGCCAAGTCTGGGTTTCATGTCACAGAACCACGATTATGTTGCCAAGAACACAAAGTGCCTGCTCTTGCTACTTGTACTTTTCTTAGGAGGACCAGAGAATCCTAATTTAATTTTAACCTTACTAATGTTCTTTTATCTTTAGCTACTGGATTCCTTCAACAACAAAAATAAGAGAAAAAAATCTGAAGCATCTAGGAAGCAGACATCAGAGGGTATTTGTGAAAGGGAGGAGGAACAAGGAGAAAATAAAAGGCAGTGGACTCTAAGATTAAAGAGAGAGACACAAAGAGCAAAGGATGCAAGGCAATCACTGCCCTCCATATGCTCAGGGAGAAAGACAGCTAGTGCGGCTGAGCCTGCCACTCAGAAAAAGGGGTGCTTTGGCACAGTTACGAGGCTGCAAGGGGAGAGACCCCCTCACAATGGCTCATGCCCAGTACACAGCACTGCCTCCTCCCTGTCCTGAGCTTTGCCTGGCAGAGCCAGGGCGCTCACCAAAGGCTGGGCAAAGGAGTGGTGGTATAGGCACATGTCTGATTTCAGCCTTCACCAAAATTTCAGCATTCTGAAATTTCACTGTTATGTTAACTGAGTAAGGGAGATAGTGTCTATATGAACCATAACAGAGAGGAAAACATGAAAGCTATGACTGAGTGGAAATTATGTGTATGGGGGTTCAGAAGAGAGACTGGTAAATCCCAAGTAGGAAGGCCAGGAAGGAGATACCATGGAGCTGGGTCTGGAAAAACCCTGTGCACCTCATTCCTTCCCACATTCTTGAGTGCTGCTGTGTGTCTGGCCCTGTCCTGGTGTCCTTGTCTCTAAGGAGGTGGCTGCACCCTCAGGTAGAGCCAGGCAGGTATGTGACTCTCAAGCCTCCTTCTCTTCCTCACTGAACCTCACAGTTTTGTGGCCTAAGTGGATAGCTTCTGCCTACACTCACCCGCCTTCTCTGCAACCCTCCATCAGGCCTTGCTGTATTTCAGCTGACAAGTCCACTCAGGTGAGGAGTGCTAATGGTGATGTATTTTCTCTCCTCTTTTTTTTTTTTTTAATTTTTATTTTATTCATATGTGCATACAATGTTTGGGTCATTTCTCCCCCCTTCTCTCCTTTTAAGAAAGGAGAAAGTGGGCTGGTGGAGTGGGTCAAGTGGGAGAGCACCTGTCTAGAAAGCTGAGGCCCTAAGTTCAAATACCAGTACTGTCGAAAACAACCAACAAACCAAATTCCATGCTTACTGTGGTCACTGTTATACTTACCCCTAGGTTACTGTCTAAATTTCGGTTCCCATGGCTATTGGGAACCATGAAGCACTCTACCCACAAAAGCTAAACCTTCAACTTTTTTTGTGCTTCAGTTATTTTTCAGGGAAGGCCTTGCATTTTTGTTCAGGGCAGGCCTCAGACTAAAAGCCTTCTACCTAGCTGAGATTCCAGACACACACTACCATGCTGAGCTTACTGGTGGAGATGAGGGTATCATTAACTTTTTTGTTATTGGGTGGGCTAGCCTCACTCCTCCCAATAGTCACCTCTGAGCAGCTGGGATTAAAAGGCATGAGCCCAGCCCATGTTTTTCTTTTTTCAAATGAAGGTACTTATTATATTTTCTATTATAGAAGCTATATAGTTTGCACACAATAAAAAGGAAAAAGAAAAACCATTCAGCATCTCCTTGGGGATGATTCCTGTTATAATTTGGTATTCTACTCACAAATACAGATTATATTATTTTCTAATATACTAATATACAGCCATCAAATAAATAGTTTTGCAGTTTTTTTCCACTTACTCTAACTTGAGCATTTCCCCCATGTTTTTAGGTAGTCTGTTATTACGTTGGCTACATAACTTTCATTTTATGGGTAAACATAATCAATTTAGCTAATCTATTCTTAGACATTTAGCCTACCTAAACTTCAGACGAGGAAAGAACTCATCAAGTTATTTTTACTGCAGACTGGGGCCTAGAGTGGTGGATGTGAAACTGCACGGGCAAGCTACGGCTCTTCTCTCAGGGAGCGAGAGAAAGATAATTTCCCAGCTGACTTTTCAGAGACATCCTGTTTGTTCCCGCTCCTGATGGGTGACACGCAGGGGAAGATAGGACTTCCCATGTCCTTTCACTTTTTATACATAATTCTCATTCAAAATCAGATAGAAGTCATGTGTGCTCATGGCAAAATCACTACTCCCCTATTTCAAAACGTTCCAGGCAGAGAAGTGTGCAGAGAACAAGCTGCCCCACCCAGGTGGACGTCCGGAATGTTCTGTTCTGAGAGCTTGGTCACTGGGTCTCCACATACTTAAGTGGGCAATAAGCAGGCTGTGGAGTGACTCTGGTGACAGAGCACCTGTTTAGCAAGTGTAATGCTCTGAGTTCAAACTCCAAGTACAGCCAAAAAAAAAAAAAATTACAAAAAAAGCTATCTGCCACAAAGAGACAGCAAGACATGCTGTTTCTGACTAGGAAACAGGTTTGTCTCTTTAACAAATTTCCATGCAGAAGCCAAGCACTTGAGGAAGAAAACACAACTTTCTTCTAACATTTTAGCCAATCCGAAATGGACATTCTGTTCTAATAACCATGTACTTGCCTAGAGGAAAAAGTGACTTTTTTTGGTGGCGGGAAGAGGTGGCAAAGAGAACAGAGTCTTGCTACTCGCTCTGCTCAAGGGCACTAACACGTACATGGACGAAATAGGGCGATGTGGAACCTACTCGTCCGCGGTCCACCGCAGAGACGCTTGATCCGCACTCTACACGGCGAGCCCCCCGGTCGATAACCGGCGAGGCCAGCGCGGTCGATACGGTCTCCCCTATGCCAATATCACTGTATGGAGTAGGCACCGAGCGCATGAGCCGGATGACTCATAAGGGCGCGGCTGGGTTGGGGTTAGATAGCTGATCTGGCGGATTGAGTCTTGACATACGTGGATAGTCATACAGATGTGTCCTTGACGCTTCCCCGCACGAGAGAGGACTGGAGATGCATACGTCCAGACCCTCTCCAGAGGCTATTGGATCTCAACAACATCTGAGCTCAAGATGACCTTGGTACCTGTCAGCCTCTGGAGTAAGCTGGAACTACAGGTGGTGTGTCACAATGGTCGGCCCAGGCTCATAATGGCATGCTTTGATGGTAGGGATTAAGGCTAGCGAAGACCTTTTTTTCTAGTAGCGAGAACGGAGATGCTTGGTGTGGTTGGGAGTGGGTAGAGAAAGACCTCCTTTGCCAGCTACATTGCCTTGGGCGAAGTGGGCTAGATCTTTTAGCGACCAGTCAGTTTTGTACTTCAACTGCAAAAACAGAGTATCCAGCTCTCTCAGAGGGTTGTGCAAGATTGAACTGGGGTCTGGAGGAAGCCAGATGGCTCAAGTAGGTGTATGCATGTGCCTGAGCAAATCACAAGGCCCTGAGTTCAAAAACCCCAGGCAACTGCAAGAAAACCTAAACTGTAACCTTTGTTAGTATTGAAAATGCCATGCATAAGAGATGGTGGAGACATGCCGGAGTTTACTCAAATCAGCATTTGGCCTATCCTTTAGCCGCTCGCTGGTATTGCTCATTGGCATCATTAAGCTATCCTGCTAAGTATTTCTTCATTAGGAAATACAAAAACTTGGACCACAACGTCTACAGACTGCTGAAGAAAGACATCAGGATAAACAAGATACAGCCTAATCCTTGCGTATATTGTATGTTGTCTGCGCACTCAGGAAAATATGTCCTGCTGAGTAAGAAACAACAGCTTTCAAGTCTGCTGGAAGTGACAGGCACTTAACAAAAAGTTATTGCAATAATCGTATGTACAAATAATTATGATGTATGAAAGGAGAAGGAGGAAGAACTGCCAAAGGATGGGGGATGGGGCTGGAAAATGATGCCCAAGTGTGGTGCTTTGGCATGTCAGTTTGAACTAGGGAGGTCAAAAAGCATTAGAAGTAGTTAGAACTAAGGACTTTGTGACCTGTTTTCTCCCCCAGGTGCAGGCAGAAATACACTCTCTAAAGCTTCCTGTACTTTATGGAAGCCCTTTAGAAGGAATACAATTGCTAGGCGCCATCTTTAAACTCAGATGGTCCAAAGAAAGATGGGAATGTCGCCACACCAAGACAGACTTTTCACAAAGCTACTGTCCATTCTTCTCCCATTCTGTTTCCAGCGAGAATCATTTACAAAACTAGTGGTTGCTCACTGGGGCCTATTTTTTTGTCCTGCAAATCATTTATTTTCTTCTAAAAGTGCCCAGAAGCTCCCTGCTGGAGAGGGCATTTAAACCTCCACCATTTAGTCCTTCTTGAGTTTCCCATTTTGGTGTGGGCTCCTTCGCCCTGCAATGGTTTTGATGGATAAATAGAAATGTTCACATGAAATAGACAGAGAGGAGAGGGGGTGGTGGTGAAAAAAGGAGAGGAAAATTGAATGAGTCGAGGCACACAGTCTGGAAGGGACAGGGTAAAATGTGTTTGGGGAAACAAAAGCAAAGCAGTTAGAATAGAAGGTTGATTGTGAAGAATCTCCTATGCTGTCTCAGGGAGGCTGGGCTTTAATCTTTAGACCAGTTCATCTTAGACCTTGATGTGCTAAAGAATTATCAAGGTCCCAGCACTGTGAGAGGGGACAAAAGCAATCATTGGGGCCACTGTGAAGATTGGCCTTAAGTGGTATATAGCAGGGCCTTGAGACCCTATATTCCTACCATGTTCCTGTGTGACACTAGAGGTAATTGGTTCCAGTGGCCATACAGAGAGTAGCAGGGCTTCTACAAAAGGGTCAACACAGATTCCTTAAGAGAGTGACATGATCGTATTACTTATAGGAAATTTATGTATGTGTTTTGTTTACTGGGCTGCAGGTGTGTCAAGTGCCTTGCAGGTATTTTCACAGTCTTACTTCATGGAGAAGCTCACACATTGCAATGACAAAACGGTGGAGCCTGGACGGTCGCAGAGTCAAGAGAGTCTTACAGATGACACACCGAATGCTCTCTTTACAGAATATAGAGGGAGTCTTAAAAGCAATGATGGCTACTTGGTCCAAAGCTGTGGAGATTACCCGAACTATAAATGCATTTAACTCTAAGTGTTTTTTTTCTGTTTGTTTGTTTTTTTTCTGTCAACTTTCCTATTCTGCGACATCTACTTATGTTAAGAGAGCTGAATTGTTGAGTATTCACAAGAATTAAGAAGGAAAAAAGCTGCAGAGAATTAAGAAGTAAAAGTCAGTGTTCAGCCATTCAGAATTATGGAGGTTGTGGACTTTGGTATAAGCTAGGTAGGGAACACTCTCATGTTTTTAAGTATTAGATTCCATGTATCTCTTCTTTTCATCTTGTCTCAAGTAGGTTAATGTCCACTTGTTATTGTGTGTCCCAAACCTGCTTTGTACATATAGCAACTTTGCTAGAGCAGGTGGTGGAGAAAAAGGCACAGCTTGTGTGCCTACCATGGGCTATACACTGACATATATAAAGGTTTAATTTAATTCTTAAAAGCCCATACAAAAATGCATGCTAGCTGGCATGCCAGTCAGTAATCTCAGCACTCAGAGGTGTAAGCAGGATGCTCTTGAGTTTGAGGCCAGCCTGGGCTACAAAGCAAGCTCCAGTCCAGTTTAGGTGATGTGGCAAGATACTTTAAAAAAAAGAAAAGAAAGCTCCTTATTTTGACTTTATACCTCAGGAAAGTGAAGGTTTTGGTTTTTTTTTTTTTTTTTTTTTTGCTAATCTACTCTATCTGTCTGTCTGTCTATCTATCTATGACAGTACTGGAGTTTGAATGCAAGACTCATGCTTGCTAGGCAGACATTCTACCACTTGAGCCAGGCCCCAACCCACAGAAAATGAAGTTTTTAGAAAAGAAGATTTGATGAAAAAGAGGAAATAATGAAATGGAGGCATTAGTGTCAGAAGATTTTTGAGAAATGGAAAAAGATCCAGAAAAGCAGAGACTTTAAATTCTTTCTACATGGAGTCTGGGCTTCCAGGAAAACAGCGGAGCAGGGAGGAAGAACACACTTTCAGTGGGTCCCAGATAAGCAAACAAGGCTGTTTTAAGAAGCCACTTCCAGGCTACGTGGGGCCTGCTCATAGGTTAATGTAGCATGGAGCAGATGGAGTGTTTTGAGCTCACAGACAGGATCTTGCTCTGGACTAGGAAGTAAGTCCTGCCTGCGCATGCAGTCACATGGCTTCTGCTTTATCTGCCCAACAAGTGGTTGAGAAACAGCTGACTTCAGTCTTTCTCAGAACTTGTGGAAAGGGAGAAGTAACAGGAAAAAAAAAAAAAAGCCCTGTTATTAACCAGCTGAGTAATCTAAATGCCAACTCAGGATGTTACAAGCAGCAAGGCTGGGCTTTTTCATGAAGCTTAGAAATTATATTTTAGACTCCACTAATCTAAAGGAGAACTTATGTGGTCATCTCTGAATGAGAATACTGAAAGTATAAGAAATTTCATCTGCTTTAAAGGAGGAAGGTTAGGGTTTACAAACTCAGTAAGAGAACACCAAAAAGCAAGGGCTTTCCAAAAGGTATCTTGTGCCAGGCACCGGTGGCTCAAACCTACAATCCTAGCTACTTGAGAGGCTGAGGCTGGGAGGATCACAATTCTAAGCCAGCCTGGACAAATAGTTCATGAGACCCCCATCTCCAAAATAACCAGAGCAAAATTGACTGGAGGTGTGGCTCAAGAGGTAGAGTGACAGCTTTGCAAGCACAAAGCCCTAAGTTCTAACCCCAGTCCCACTAAAGCCAAAAAAAACAAAACAAATGACACCTTGCCCTTGTCTTATGCTATAACAGTTCATACTTTTTGATCTAAGTACACACTGGCCCTGTTGCACAGATTATCTCATTTAATGCTCAAAATTCTATGACGTGGTATGGTGAGGATTATTTTTTATAGAGGAAGAAAGAAGCCGGAAAAAACCATTATTTGATAGTCTAATACCTCTAATGGGTAAAAAACATTCAGATCCAGCAAGTGGCTGGATCTCCTTGCTGTTGTGGTAATGTTTATCGGGGGGCTTATAGATAGTTGAGGGTCACCTATGGCATGGGCCCATTATTTATTTTGTGAGCAAAAGGACTGACACAGTATTCATCCAGAAGTCAAAATATTTGCTGGGAGAATGATTATTCAACAATCATTTTCTGCTATCTCTGTTCTTTCTCTCCCCCTCCAATATTAATCAATATTGAAATGAGACCATAAACATGCCTAGAGGGTCCGTCAGGTAGATATCCTCCAATTTCCCAAGGGTAGGATATTTTCATAAAGTCTTATGACCAGCCTGGCTTTGCTGTGTTTTGTTTTCTGTGATACTAGAGATCAAACCCAAGGTCTTATGCATGTCCAGCATGCGCTCTACCAGTGAGCTTCACCAGCTCCTGAACAGCCCGATTGAATCATACAGATGTCTAGTGACAGGATCCCTAGAGGGACCAGGACAGAGCTTGGTATCAAATCTAAAATGGAATTCTCCTCATCTAATTCTGCTGGTCCTACTTGGGAAAGCCAGGGCTGTGGTGAAATCCTAGAATTTGCTTTGTGGATCAACAGACCCTGGGAGAAAGGCAAGCTGCCATTTTGTTCCTTCTCCCTTTCTGCATGGTGATATAGAGCCTTTCTCTGACTTGGGGATCAGCGACAGTATAGAAGAGAGATCCACAGAAGCTAAGTGGTTCAGAGCCTAAGGGAGAGTTATTTATAGAGTGCTCTGTCCTTTTTGGTTGAATGAGAACAGATTCCTTTATGGCCTGAAGTGATAGTTACCCATTCTCAGTCATTGGTGTGATGGTGGCAGCAACGAGACCCTGCAGTTTCTTCTTTGGAGAAGCCATGGAGCTGCTGAAGTCTGGAAAACACACATCATCATTCCTCTTTCTTCAAGGAATGCTAATTAATGATCTAACTCCCGGGCAAAGTTCACTGCTAGTTTAGAACTGAAAAATATGCTTGCAAGCATACAAACACAGAAAGCAAGTAAAATTTCAAGAGTATAATTCTATTGGGGAGAAAACTTTAAGACAAGGAGAAAGTGGGCCTTGGAAAATACTATCTGGAAGGCCTCCTGTTTTAGCTACACAGATGACTGAGGCAATCCCATGCATCAAAGAGTAGGAGTAAATTAACAGCAGACTCAAGAAGCAACTGCAACCTCACTAGCATTAAGTTAAATAGAAGAAATTCCTATAATTTAATTGAAAAGGTGGTCAGAAAAAAGGGCATTCTCTCCTTTTTCTGTATGTTCATTCTTTTAAGCTAGAATACCACTTAAAAACAGCACTGAAAGTATTAAGGTTTCAGTGTGATTTATATAACTATCCTTAGATTAACCTAGCTATTCTGCTATATTCTAACTTTGCCACAGTTTCCTTAATCTCTCCTTTCCCCACCACAGCAGGCTACGGAGGGAGGTCAGGAAATGTGTCATTGTCTTTTCTTTCCCTGCCATAAGCACAGCAACCTGCTTGACACTCGGCTTTCAATTCACAAGTGATGACTATGTGGGAGAATGAATAAGATGTTCAGACTGTAACTAGATGATGACTTCCCAGATGGACACTCACTGCTGAAAGAGTCAACCCATGCCACTCATTTCGGGCAAAGGATCCCTCTACATGCACTGGCAGAGTGAACCTGTCCAGAATTAGTAGAGAAGACAAAACGGACAAAGAGAGGCAACAGAGCACACTGGCGACACAGCCTGAATTCCATGCAGATTGCCTGATTTAATTCTCAGCCTGTCTCTTGCTACTAATAGAAACATTTTTTTGAGCTATAAGACATAAAAAGTCACAAATGCAATTTGAAGCCACCTATGTAATGTGTAACAATGAAGAAAATACACGATAATCAGGTAGCTTTTGTGACAATTATACAAAAGACAGTGGGCTTACAGGAAATACAAAATGTCTATAGGTGGGTGATCAGCAAGAAGGGACATGTTGTATTTCTGATATCACAGGCACATTTAAAAGCTGACTGCCATATCACAATTTACCCCAGTACAATAAAAAATAAAGAAAATAAGTAAGAGCCCAGTGTCTACTATACTGAAATCTGACCCACATAATATAGTACTCATTATTATTATTATTTTGATACAGTCTCACTATGTAGCCCAGGCTGGCCTAGAATTCATGATTCTCCCGCTTTAGCCTCCAGAATATAGAGATTACAGGCATGAACCACCATACCTGACTTTGTAGTACTTAATTATGAAGCAACCCATTTAATTTGCTTTTGTCTTAAAACTGCTAATCTCATTAATGGATTAAGCTTCTGAAGTTCAGAATCCCTATCTTCTACTTTTCTGTATCCTCCGAGTATCCTGGCTCCAGTGAGCTCTTGACAAACACTGCTTTTGTGACAAGCCAACATGACACCTGTCCTTGAAAACAGAATGTTCCCAACAAGACTTCCTCCTCAAATCAAGCTCAAATCCTGCATGCAGCACTGCTCTGTAGTGAACGGCCATAAAGGAGAGTCTTTTAGATCTACTGAATACTAGGATTTCTCTGACATTTCCTAGTTCAAATCTGAGACTAAAATCATGTTGGAAGCTTAGAAAGACAAACATAATCACCTGCCCCTGAGGAAGACACAAGACAAGAAATCATAAGACATGGTTCTAATCCTTAGGCGGCATGTGACCGCCTTCCCTACACCTGGAGGCCCTGTCTAGCCAGAGGAATGTGTGAGCCTCACATGAGACTGATCCTATGCCTATCTTCACCTGGCACTTCTACAAGTATCTTGACTCAAGAAACCCAACACGGAGCTGCCATCTTGTCCTTGAAATGATTTCTTCCTCTGTTCCTTACAGTAGAGGTGTTAAAGGGTCAGACTTTATGGGTCTGCATCCTGGCTCTACCAGTTACCAGATCGGTGATCTTGGGCCTGTTATTTAGGCTCCGTGTGCTTCACTTACTCTTCTGTGAGTGAGGATAATAAATAAAGACAGGCACAGGTACATATATGTTCAGTGCCTTCCATATAGTCTTGTCTAAAGGGCACAGGATGACAGCAAGTATTAGCATGTGCTTACCGGTGCCATCTTCACAATCACTTCTGTTCTGGAGCACCTCCTCCCCAGTCTTCACTACTTTTGTCTAGTCAGGGACCAAATATCTGCTATCTGCTTTTTTTTTTTCAGTACTGGGGTTTGAACTCAGGACCTTCACCTTGAGTCACTCTACCAGCCCCATTTTTGTGAGGGGTTTTTTGAGAGAATGTTCTGAGAACTATTTGCCCAGTCTGGCTCTGAACATCAATCCTCCTGATCTCTGCCTCCAGAGTAGCTAGGATTATAGGCCTGAGCCACCAGCACAGGCTTGCTATCTTCTTCACTGCTAGTTCTTCCTTACCCTTACTGACCTTCTTATGACTTACCCCCTTGTTATTTCTTATCTAGACTAGTGGTCACAACCACAGGTCCAGGAGGCCCCTGGGGTGAAGGAAAGTTCAAATGATAAGACGGCTGAGAGCTTGAGTCAGCATTAAGTCTCCTGAATCAAACACTGCTAGCCTGTTCACACTAAGGACTTCCATATTCTTGTGTTTTTAGCTGCATTTTATACTTAGTAACACTACATTTTTAGGATGGCCAGAAGCTTGGATTGGAAGGCTTATGTGTCTTTAATTGAAAGAAATCAAATTAACTATGACTTATATACAGTTAGAGTAGTTAAAAAAATTCAAAACATGGGGCCTGTGGGAGAATAGGACGAGGCTGGGATCACTGTCATGATCTCCTGCCTCTTTAATCCCCACAGGCTGCCAGACAAATCTTCCAGATCATGTCTTTGCACCATTCAGAAAATGCCAGCTTCCCAATCTGTCTCTACAAAGTCTCTTCATGCCTGCAGAACACCAGCCCAATTGCACTAAGTCCCTGTAGCTCTTACCTGCCTTTCACTGTCTGGCCGGTTTGCCTTTGTGTCCCAAGCTTCTCCCTCTTCAATTCCTCCAGTCTGGCTAACTTTTAAAAACTCACTTTAAAAATCATACCTCTGGTGGCATAGCCTCAGAGGTAGAGCGCTTGCAGGTGCTAGACCCCAGTACCACCAAATCCCTGATAGTTCAAGCCGAAAATTATTTCTTAACCTTCAAAATTTCCCCCAAACATTTGCTTTTCATTAAAAGCTTCACATCAGAGTTAGAAGCAGATGGTTTTGATTCCAAGCCATGTGGGGGACAGGAACAGCTTCAAAAATTTACCTTTGCCTAGAGCAATACTCTAAAGTATAAAGTTTGGGCTTGGAGGCGTGGCTCAAGTGGTAGAGTGACTGTCTAGCAAGCTCAGGTTCTGAGTTCAACCCCCAGTACTGCCAAACGAACAACCATAACAGAGTAAAGTCTACTGGCTTTATGACCTGTTAAAATCATACAGAAAGAGATGGGATAAATCACCACAATTTTAACAGACAATGATCATTTTTAATATTGGAGCTTTAGGATAAACTTGGGAATGTTCTGCTGTGAAATTCACAGCTTGTATCCAGAGCAAATGGTTAGTTAAAATGTTCTCCAGCCTGAGGCTTGCTGTGAATTTAGAAAGTAACTACTGAAACACTGGGGAGGGGTAGTACACTTGATCTTACTCCTAGACCCACAAGCACACTGCAAAGAATTTAAAAAATTTTAAAAGGCAAAGTTTCAAAATTTAAAGAAAAAAGGGTGGAAAATAGCTCTGCGCAAGAAGACATTGAAAAAAACCAAAAGAAGCAGAAATACAACCAATTTCTCGTAAAACCTGCGGGAGGTGTATGAGATTTAATCACTCAGTCACTAAGTGATCAAGTGACACAGGGATCCTAGGCGGCCCGACTGTGTGATCAGTAAAGGATTCGGGAATGACACCTGCTCCAGGCCGGGACGTCGCCTTCACACTCCCTTCCGCACCACTCCTCAGCTGTCCGCCTTCCTCCTTTGCTCGGGTCGCCTCGGTCTCACCCACCCCCGCGTCAGGTCCCCCCGCGCTCCCGGCGGGAACACCGGGTGGCCTCAGTCGGCGTCCGTCTGTCTTTCCCGCGAGTGGCGTGCCGCGCTCACCCTGACAGTGAAATCCGATCGCACTCCACTCCGCTCCGCACCGTACAGCGCCGCACTCTGCCCGGGCTGCGGGCCGCGCTCTTTATACACGCGGCGCCCGGGCGCGGGACCACGTGCGCCGCGCGGGGACTTGGGAGTTGTAGTCCCTGCCTCCTCCGCGGCGCGCGGTCGGGGTGACTCAGGGGACAGGGGCTCTTGCCCAGGCTTCTGACTGGTAGCTCAGTGCCCCAGAACGCCAGCCTCTCCCGTCTTTCCGCATCGCCTGGCCTTTCTCCTCGGTCTTCACTTTCCTTCTGCCCAGGCCCTGCAAGAAAGGCTCTCTTGGGAAAGCGTATTTTTAAAAAGGGTTAGCTGCTAACACAGGAGCTTTTCTGGTGTGTTCTGGAGAACAATCAAACGTTTTGAAAGGAAAAAGTATTTTTAACCAAAATGTCTCTACTTGTAAGAATGTCAAGCGTCTGCTTTCTAAACGGGGGACACAGCCACGCACAAGTCCTCAACTTTCTCTTGATGTGAACTGATCTCAGTTTTTCATGAAAGCTATTGGCTAGTGCTTATTGTTTCATTTAGACAAAATACATTTCCCCAAATACATTTCTAGTTTGGTAAGTGCTTTTAAATATAATAGCTCTTTCCATGCACACACTCCTAGAGATAATTATAACTATGTATTTAGTGCTTACTTTCCTGCACCATCCTAGCTATTTAACATTTAAATCATAAAAACAATCCCACGTGATGGGTATTTTAAAAAGAATTCGTATGTTGGCTAGGCGTGGGTGGCTCATACCTGTAAGTAATCCTACTTATTTGGGAGTCAGAGATCAGAAAGATAGAGGTTCAAACCCAGCTGGGGCAAATAGTTCTCCAGACCCTATCTCAGAAATACCCAGCACAAAAAGGGTTGGCTCAATGGCTCAAGTGGTGGAAGGCCTGCCTAGTAAGTGGTGATGCCTGTAGTTCAAACCTCAGTACCGCAAAAAAACAAAAAACCTTTAGAAAAATCAAATTTAAGATATTCCCCCAATGCAGTATAAGTAATAACAAAGATAAGAGCTACAAACCAGTTTGGCTTAGGAATGCAGTGTTACAAAGCCACAAATGACTGCACAAGTATCCACAGGCAATGTGGTAAGACCTATGATTGTGATTAGAAAAGTTTTTCCTTATAAGGCTTCAGTAAGCTGGGATTGCCTCATTAAAATCAGATATAGGCAATACATTCTGTTTTTTTTTTATTGTTCATATGTGCATACAATGTTTGGGTCATTCCTCCCCCACCACCTTACACCCTCCCACCCCCTCCCTTATCCCCCCAACCCCTAGATACCAGGCAGAAACTATTTTGCCCTTATCTCTAGTTTTGTTGTAGAGAGAGTATAAGCAATAATAGGAATGAACAAGGGTTTTTGCTGGTTGAGATAAGGATAGCTATTCAGGGAGTTGACTCACATTGATTTCCTGTACGTGTGTGTTACCTTCTAAGTTAATTCTACTCGAACTAACCTTTTTTCTAGTTTCTGGTTCCCTTCTCCTATTGGCCTCAGTCACTTTAAAGTATTTGCATTAGTTTCTCTGCGTTGAGGGCAACAAATGCTATCTAGTTTTTTGAGTGTCTTACCTAGGCTCATACCTTCCTTGTGTGTTCACACTTTATCATGTGATCAAGTCCAATCCCCTTGTTGTGTTTGCCCTTGATCTAATGTCCGCATATGAGGGAGAACATATGATTTTTGGTCTTTTGGGCCAGGCTAACCTCACTCAGAATGATGTTCTCCAATTCCATCCATTTACCTGAAAATGATAACATTTCATTCTTCTTCATGGCTGCATAAAATTGCTTTGTGTATAGATACCACATTTTCTTGATACATTCATCAGTAGTGGGGCATCTTGGCTGTTTCCATAACTTGGCTATTGTGAATAGTGCTGCAATAAACATGGGTGTGCAGGTGCCTCTGGAGTAACCTGTGTCACAGTCTTTTGGGTATATCCTCAAGAGTGGTATTGCTGGATCAAATGGTAGATCAATGTTTAGCTTTTTAAGAAACCTCCAAATTTTTTTCCAGAGTGGTTGTACTAGTTTGCATTCCCACCAGAAGTGTAAGAGGGTTTCTTTTTCCCTGAATCCTCGCCAACACCTGTTGTTGGTGGTGTTTTTGATGATGGCTATTCTAACAGGGGTGAGGTGGAATCTTAGTGTGATTTTAATTTGCATTTCCTTTATTGCTAGGGATGGTGAGCATTTTTTTCGTGTGGCAAAACACTCTTGTACCTGTTTCGTGCATGGTACAGGAACCAGGTAGTCAATTACTGTATTTATCAAACTATAATGTACTAATTTGCTTATATATTACATCCTCCACAAACATGACTTGCAAGTCCTCTTATATTATCACCAAACCTAACCCATAGCAGGTCATCAGTAAATACAGAATAAATAAGAACTAAACCAATAATGATTTTTGGGATGATTTTCTTTCCTGATACAAGGACATCCAAAGATATCTCAGTCTTTTTTTTTGGCGGCACTATGGTTTGAACTCAGGGCCTCACACTTGCTAGGCCAGTGCTCTTACCATTTGAGCCACTCCACCAGCCTTTTTTTATGATGTCTTTTTTTGACATAGGGTTTCAAGAACTACTTACCCAGGGCTGGCTTCGAACCACAATCCTGATCTCTGCCTCCTGAGTAGCTAGGATTACAGATGTGAGCCGCTGGCACCTGGCCTAGTTCACCTTCTAAACCAAGATGTCCACGGTCCATCTCTGAGTGAGGAGTAAACCCGACTTGTAAAGGGCCACAGAGGCTTCTCTCATCAGATGGGGCCACACTGTCATATCAATTCCACATAGGCATATAGCTCCAACAACAATGAGAAAATTGTTCTAGGCCCATCAAAGGACACTCAGGATTATTAAAGATGCACTTTCTAATACTCAAACAAGACCAAGAATGGCTACAAATGGATGGCTGCTTTGGAGTGCCATTTGTGGTTGAGGAACAGGATTCCAAGTAATCTACTGACTCAGCCCTACTGTCTTTAGGGCTGGCTTCCAGCACCATACTGGGGTTGGTGTGTGGCTGAAGGTCATTGAGGTGCTCCCACGAAACATGTCTAGCCTTCTGCTTTTTGCTGTCCAGGCCTTACTTAAAAAAAATTTTTTTTCCAGTACTGTGGTTCAAATCCAAGATCATGCATAAGGTAAGAAAGTACTACTTTCTGAGCTTCATCCCTATCCAGTCCTGGGAGCTTGTACTTTTTTTTTTTTTTCTTGAGACAGGGTCTTGCTATGTAGCCCAGATCAGGCTGCCCTCAAACTCATGATCCATCTACTTCAGTCTCCTGAGTGCTGGGATTATAGGTACAAACCATCATGTCCAGGTGTTGTATGTTATCCTGCAGAAGGAAGAAAGGGAAGAATGGATGGAGGGAGACAGTGAGGGAGAAAGGAAGGAAAAAGGGAAGGAAGTTCTGCTAAGGATATAGCATAGTTTTTTGTTGTTGTTTGTAATGTCAACAAGAATATTATATCCAAAAGGGACAATGTAAGTGATTTTTTTCAAGTCACAGCTTAATATATGCAAAATTAAAACTTTCAGTCCCTAGAAGGTAAATTATTAGACTTAACATTGTCAACAATAAACCAATATTCTAAACGCATAAAGAAACTACTGTTTGTATAAATATAGTACAAAGCAATTCCTTGTAATAAGGTGTTAGGATTTGCTAAGAAGCAGTGCTAAAGTGTGGGATTAAATGTGCAAGATGGGTGTTGGAGAAGACAGGGACGTCCTGCAGACTGCTGTGCCAGGCTAACATCTGACAAGGAGAGATGGAAGGAAAGAGGGTGGAGAGCAAAAGGGCAGGGTAGGAAGAGTCACGAGAATGGAGTAGGGGTACACACAGTGTCCACTCTGTGCTCTTAACACACACAGGGCCTTTAAAGTGACTTGTGGGGGAGACAATGATTTTTTTTTTTTTTTGATGGGATTGTTATTGGAACTCAGGGCTTCCTGCTTGCAAAGCAGGTGCTCTGCTACTTGACCCACACCTCCAGTCCAATTTGCTCTGGTTATTTAGGAGATGGGGGTCTCATGAACTATTTGTCCAGGCTGGCCTTGAACTGTGATCCTCCTGATCTTACCCTTCCAAGTAGCTAGGATTACAAAGGTGAACCACGGGTGCTTGGCCAAGGGGATGATCTTTAAAATATGGTAAATTTAGCCAGGCATGACACAAATCTGTAATCCCAGCACTCTGGAAACAGGCAGTATGATTATGAGTTTGAGGCCAGCCTGGGCTACATAGCAAGGCCCTGTCTTAAAAAACCAAACACACAGCCAGACACCCGTTGCTCATACCTATAATCCTAGCTACTTAGGAGGCTGAGATGGGGGAGGATCGCAGTTTTTGAGGCCAGCTGCCACAACTACATTGTTACTCCATCTCCAAAATAACCAGAGCAAAATGGACTGGAAGTGTGGCGCAAGCTGTAGAGTGCTGCTTTGCAAATGTGAAGCCCGAGTTCAAACCCTAGTCCCACCAAAAAAAAACAAAGAAACAACTCCCCACCCTCCCCGTGCCCCAAACACACATGCCAGGTGCCTGTGGCTCATGTCTGTAATCCTAACTACTTGAGAAGCTGAGAATGGGAGGATGGTGGTTCAAGGCTAGCCTGGGGAAATTGTTCCCAAGACCCTCATCTCAACCAATAGCTGGGCACAGTGGCATACTCCTGACTTCCCAAGTTATGTGAGAAGCTGAGATTGGGAGGATCTCAGTTCTAGGCTAGCCTGGGCAAAAAAGTTCATGAGACCCCATCTCAATGGGAAAAAGCTGGGTGTGGTGACATGTGCTTGGCATCCCAACAAAGGCGGGAAGCTTAAAATAAGAGGATTGGGCCCAGGATAGCCTGGGCAAAAAGGGTGACCCTATCTCCAAAATAATCAGAGCAAAAGGGCTGAAGGTATGTCTCAAGTGGCACAGTGCCTTCCTCACACGCAAGCCCTGGGTTTAAATGCCAGTGCCACCACACACACA